TGCTATGGTTGTCAACGTTGGGTTTAACCGACTTGGCTTGTTGAACAGTTTCAGTACTATCTTTAATTTCCTCATTACAGGTCACGGACCTATTGATGGGTATGTCTAGTAATGGAGCTGCCATCTTAATGCCTCTCTATATCTTCCCCATTTGTTGTCCTCAAATGGGAAAGGTTCCTCTTTCCGCGGATTCGCCGTTCACCTCTTCCACCATAGTCGCCGTTGGGGTCTTCACCGTTACCTTGGCAAGCAGCCCTCACATGGTACTACCGACCAGCCGGACCAAGGTTTTTTAAAAAGTGGTATATCACTCCCTTGTTTATAATGGCTTGTGATAGGCAAAGCCAAGTACAACATACTTTGGGCGCAGGTTGGTGGGCAGTGTTTAATATATAGTGCTAAAACATCATGTTGTTTTATCATTTCAACATGTGATTACAACTCAACGCCAATACCCTTTATGCTTCTCGATTTGAATAAATATTTTCAGCCCGCACGTCAGTGCACTTTCGGATACAATCCATTCCCAAAAATATCGACCATTTTCGCGCAGATTAATATATTTCTTCCGAAGAACATTTTTCTTCCTCTCCTTCGAAGAAAAAGAGTGCAAATAAGAGGATTTCGACAATCCTCTTTGAATGCGTCAGATATCCGCATTCTTCGCGTCTTTACGTTCGGTTCTTTTAAGAAGGGGACGCGAATGATCCGTCTCCTTTCGTTGCATTATCCTTTCGGTTTCACCAGTAGGACAGCGGCTCGGTCCTTTCAAAGCGATACATCAGCTCTCGCCCCCGGTGATCCCATTTGCGACACATGCGGCCAAGTGCCTGAAGAAATCCACCCAGACGCAGCCCCAAAGACGATATAGTACGGATTTGGACTCTACTGATCCAACAGCGAGGCAGATTGTCACGAAGAAGTGACGATAAATGTACCTACGGGATATATTGCTGCACATATTTTAAAGATCATTGTCATAACAATTTCTACAACATCATATTTACTTATTATTTTGTAAAAAAAATAGATTGTAAATTTTTTGTTATAAATAAAAAATTTAAAGATACTTTGTATAGTTCATCTCTGAATGTTGATGCTTTCAATTCTCACGCATTTTTGTTGGTACAAAGTACTATAGTAGATATGTAAGTGAAAGTTCTAATGATTTACCTTTCAAGACAATTATGCAATCAAAACATGGTTCTTGTTTTTAGTTTCGCATCTTCGTGGTTGTTGTCGTTGTCTTTAATATGGAATTTAAGTATCTCCCCTGAGGTCAGGTAAACTGTGTTTTACAAATATCTATGTTATGAAGTGTAAAAAATTAATTTATTAAATTTGAAAATAAAAATGTTAATACTGTTAGTAACGTGTTTCGCTTAATTATGTTTTAGAAAGTTGAATCGCAACAAGGAAGAGTAAATATTTTTAAATACTCCTAGGAGTATTCTAATAATGAAAAAAATGTTTATATCGTAAAGTATCTATTGAACTTATCATGTTTGAAGATTCTACTTGATATATCTATCTGTATCCAATAATTAATGATGCATTATACTTTTAACATTTTTTAGGCTTACTCATTTTACACAGCTTCAGACATTCTTTTCTTTTCAAACCCTCATCTTCTTCCCTTTTATATATTCAATTCTCTTCTTGTTCCCCCCTCCTGGCAACGTATTTTACATGTCACTGTCACACCTTGTCTTACGCAGTACACGCTAGGAAAGTCGTGATAGTGATAAAAATGTTATCTTAGAGAAATGCAATATTCATCCTACGTGAAAAATAACCAATCCGATAATTTGCACGTGTCTGCTCGTCCTTCTGTCACTCATGGTTGCAACACTTCCAGCTAGTCATTTGGAGTGAATGAGTAGTCATTAGACGCGTTGCAATCTTCTGTCAGAGGACTGATATTTTTTTCTGAATTATTTCTGAAAATTCGAAGACAATTATCGAAAAAACCTGTTTTGCTTTTTCCAGCTCCTACAACACGTGTTTTGTGAGTTTTAAGACTAATGTTAAAGTGAACAAATAGTTCATTCGATCCCTTTCAACAAAACTAATCGATTGGCATATTTCGTAAAAGTCCCCGTTTAAAATATTCTGGAAGAATTCTGAAATATCTGAGAGGGATCAAGGTCCTTAGATTGGTGAAACGCGAGTTGCTGTGCTACCTTTCGGTCATAATGTGAATCGTTAGAACGTTATTTATAGGACTGATGGGACCCATATATAATTATGTAAAGAAAAATACTATCTAAACTTTTTCGAGAAACTCTGTCCTCCAGGACGGTTGAGCCAGATAATTGTATTGGGTATCAAAATTTTAGACAGCCACTACTAAAAAAAGTATTTTAGGACATGCGTAGGATGCTAGAAGTTTCATTTTTAGCAACAGTGGTGTAAGGGAAAAAATATTTTGAAAAAAAGAGTAGTTGTTGAATAATAACACTAGAAAGAGAAGATTCGGTGTTCCGCCTCTGCATTCTCACCCGATTTTAACTTGCATCTCTCTTTTATTACAAATTAGAAACTAGGTAATTAGGAACTTTTACAAATATCGGCCAAGTTTGCTTCAATTACTTAAGATCACTGGAACAGATTAATTCAATCAACAGACAAGCAACTTCTCGTATGAACTCCTCAATTATTCTGTGCAAACATTTTAGAATTCCTAACAGCAGTGCGATTCACTTGTTTCGCACGCTCTGTTTGACTTCCAGAGAAATACTCGCACTAAAGAAATATCAAACAAAAGTGACTTCGTTTATCCCACTCTTTCAACTTGTGTTATATCGTCACGATCTACATAAAATATATAATGAAAATTGCTTCAAAAATTCAAAGTAATGAAGATCAAAACTTAGTGTCACATAATATTTGTATATATCAAAATATTAACTTCTAATATACGAGGCAAGAAAAGGCAAAAATAAAATTTAAATATCTGATTTATGAGAAAAAAATAGGTAATTTTGTCAATATTTCGGTTTGTAATTATTGGTGCATTATAAAATGTAATTACATGGAAATTAATGCAACTTGAGGAATTATAAATTATATTCAAAAGTTAAATTTGAAAACACGTATTGCTTTTGTTTGATTTCCGAGACAAAACTATAATAAAGAAAAGTCAAACAATGATATTAAAAGAAAGTTTTGTGTGATATGCATTTTGACAAATGATATTAAGCTCTATGATGACACAGGCGATTATTTTCGTCAATTACAGTATCTAAAGATCCGAACTTTAAAAGCGCAATCTTCGCCAAACTGCTTCCATAATAATTAATCTCTTTCAAGGGCCTCGCGATAGAAATTTCCGCCGAGTGATTTATGTTGAACCATCAACTGCCATCGCATGCAGCTCTAAATTTGCGTTTACGGACCTTGCGAGATGGGCGAATTGAGTCGCAGGCTTCGCGAAAGGCCACAGCGTGGCGGCAAAGCTCGCTTGCTTTAGGACACAGCCTACTCGTTACTTCCGCGGACGTTTGCATATCCCACCAACGGCGCCTCCTTGATAGCGATAAGAACTGCTTTACTGGCTCCGGCAAGCCGTATAAATCGCAGATAAGATTCTCTCCTTACCGCGGCGCTTTATTTCAGTTGCGCCCCCGCGCCGCCAGGCGCGCCGCCGTCGACCGCGCCGTCGATTACCGGAGCCACCAGGCTTTTTCGACAAGCGCTGCGAGGTAGATGGTTAATTTTACAGCTCTCCCGGCGCCGGCCCGGGGACCGTATAACTTACACTTTTAAACACTTTAATTAACTGTGGCGAAACTCTCGGCTTCTGGCGCTTCTGGTCTCTTTTTTTCTGGCAGGCGAGCGTAACCAGTTAAGCTAATTGTTCACGCCATCAACACTTACCAACGAGCAAGTGCAGCGAGACGACGCTCGAAGTTTTTACAGCCGTTACAATGAGCCCAAGAGAACTGACGACCTCGAGGAAAAGCAATTCGTCCTATAGTGCCTAATGAACGATCTTAGTTACAGACATTATTAAGTACTTTAAATTAGCTCTTGTTAATTTGCGAAACGTAATCGTTCAAAATGTATTAGAAATCGTCATTCGCTTAGAAATCACCTCACTCTGACGAAGGCTAAAAATTACCTCCACAATAAATGATGTAACGTTTAATGAAATTGAACTTAGTAAGGTGACTTAGAAATCACCTTACTCTGAGAAAGGCTAAAAATTACCTCCACTATAATCATGTGACGTTAATTGAAAGCAATTCGGACTCAAATACGTGATCCGAACTCTCAATTGATTTTCGTTAATTTCTATAAATGATGTAGATTATACATGAATAGAATTAAAGTGAATAATTTAATATCACACACATTTTTACTTTCAATACCTATCTTTAGATATTATTTTCAGTAATCTAAAAAATACTTCAAAATATATGTTACGAACAATGCTGTAAGCGACTTTTATTCGTTATAGCGAAATATTATTAAAAATGTAAATACCAATACAAAAATGATTCAGCGTCTGCATATTAAAAGCAACGTGCTTCATTTTCTAACAAAAAATATACACTAGAGAGGGCAATATTGAAAAACCAATACCCAGACTGTGTGGCAAACGAGAACATTACTGAACACTGCAAGTATTACAAAATTTCTTAAAAAAAGCACCCCTCAAGGATTTCCAGTCCACTATTAGAACACGAAGACTTATGAACCAGGCTAAACGGCAGCGGCAGAGCTGGCATCTGCGAGTTTGCGGTCTCGACGACGGCAGTGGCGGCGGTGGCGGCGGCGGGGGCGGCGGCGGCGGC